ATCTATATTTAGCACATAGTGAGAAATTACATTTTTCTAGGAATATGAAAGCCTTGGGGTTTTCTCTAAGATCTATGACTTCTCCAGTCACATGTATTTGGCTATGCTTATGATACCACACATGAACTGCCTCCTATTGAGTGGGCCTTAAGTCCAGTTAGGTAACTATTAATTACCCCCAAGACAAAATGTCACTCTCCTAAATTTTATATTAAGCAAACTTCTGACCATAATTTACTAAATATCTAAATATCTTGTGCATATAATGTGAGACTAGCTTCTTCCATGAATTTGGTACTTTTTCCATAGAAAGCTCTTTGTGACAAATACAAAAAAAAATTTTTTTTAAATATTTTAAAAAAGTCAAATGAAAAGACACTAATAATTAAAAATAGAAAAATATTCAAAATATTCTTAAATAAATTGATAATAGCATTTTAAGAGTTATCTGAACCTTAGTAATAACACCACATCAAAGCCAAAGCTATAGATACATATGTCTACAATGACAGGGACTCCTCCCAGTGGAGCCTGCACTCCAGTTTTCCGATGACCTCATTTACTAATTCTCTGGAGTAACATCCTCAGAGACAAAGATATTAAGAAAACTGTGCAACCAGCTGCTCTGTGCACCCACTCTGAGGAAACACAGAAGCACACCCTATCTTGGTAGGTTGGAAGAGAGTCAGTGAGGGTAATAACATCAATATAATATTTCAAGGTGAGACTGTTATATACACTACAATACAGTGGTTTGCAATAATAAAACCTGTTCAGAATTCATTTTTTAAAGATGATGACAAGGAGTATTTTCTGTGGTTGTTTAACTTTTACATATAGTTTTAAGAAATAATGTGAAAATTTTATAATTATAGTCAAATATTCCATGTTAAGATACTTGAAGCTATAGAAAATCAAGCTCATGTCTCACCAGATACAATTCATGTTTAAATTGGCTGTTATTCTCACAGTAGCTACAGATTTACACAGAAATAATGGAGAGCATATTAGACAAAGGTCACCAATGTGTCCATAGATATATATTCCAAGGAAAAGCATACCTTAAGGATAAAGGGAAAAACTTCAAATATCACTATGAAAACTCCCCATTTCTTCCACTCTCTAATATCTGGAAGATAGATTAGGAACTGAAGGAAAACACTGTGGCTATACTGTAAAGTGTATGATGTTGATAAGGAAAAAAAGGTATAGAAACAAATGACAGAAGAAGAAAAGCAGAGGTGATGTGTCTATCGTCTGTGCAGAACAAGAATATGAAATGAGATAAACACAGAGGAGTAGCCGGGAGACTGTATATCCTTCAGTATACCTCAGTAGATGGATAGCAATTTTCTCCTTCAGTGGAACCCTGTTTTCTTAAAGAAAAGGGAGCTACAAATTTCAAGAATAAAGGGAAGGAAGAAAAAAGGGAATAGTGTTACTGGCAAACAAAATAATCAATAGGTTTGATCAATAGGTTATCACTAGGTGAAACTGAATAGAACTGATATTATAAAATACTCAAAATTCCTAAAACAAGGAACTCTAGATATACTGAGTAGATCCAACAGATGGACAAGCACTAGGGAACGGGTGGGGCCACCAACAACACAGCGGACAGTAACAGGGATGATAGAGCATATGGGCTCCAGTGGGGGGGTGGCTATGGGAGGGCGCCATTTGGGATGTGGATATATAGACGAATAAGATTGTTTGGGATGTTCTGTATGAAATACACACAAAAAAATCAACAAATAAAAAATGAGTTATATTTGAGGAAGAAGCATTAAAAATTTGCCTCATGGTAAACAGTACAGGTGAAAAACATTACCGTTGAAATCTATCTGATCATTTTATATTCATGCTCAGGTGCCAAGGATCTCAGAAAGTAACTGACTGTGACTAGTAATAATCAGATACATAGAGATTAGAGTCACATGTGCAAACATCTAAGCGTTAGTAGCATTAAAAATGAGTGTTTATAGCTGGGCATGGTGGCACACACCTGTAGTCCCAGCACTTGGGAGGCAGAGACAGGTAGAGCTCTGTGAGTTCAAGGCCAGCCTGGTCTACATAGTGAGTTCCAGGACAGCTGGGGCTACAGGAGACCCTGCTTCAAAAAGACAAAAAAATGAGTGTTTCTGTATGAAACAGTATATTTTAAAATGACAAGGAGATATTTTTTAAAGGTTAAAACCTCATTCAATTTTATGTCTTATAGGGTTAATACTGAGTTCAATATTTTATAACTGTATTAATTCAACTGTGAACCTAAAAATTTGCAGCCAATTTTGAAAGAGATGCATCTTTGCTCTAGAAATTGTTATTGAATATGTTAATGCTGTAAAAAAACTACCCAAGAGGGCAGTGTGAAAAGATATATTCACTTTAAAAAATATTTTATTTATTATTTTATATGTATGATTTCATTGCCTGCTCATATGTTGTGCAATGCCCTCAGAGGCTAGAAGATGGAATCAGATCCAGTGGAACTGGAGTTAGCAGGCATGTGGGTGCTGAAATCAAACCTAGGTCCTCTGCAAGAGCAGTCAGTGGTCTTAACCACTGAGCCATCTCTCCAGCCTCAAGATATATTCATTTTTAAAGAAAAGGTACATGCTACTTTTAGTACAACATAACATACTTTATATGCACAAATTTCAGTTTTTTGTGATTCACAGGAGGAGAAACACAAGTGATGAGAAAAAGAGACCAGAACTGTAGAAGAAAGAGGATAAAGCTTTTGTTCTCTCTGGTCTCTGTCACTGTCTCTTCATAAACTTTCGTCAGCCTCCTTTACATCAGACTTATACTTTTATTACATAGTGGTAAATTATGACTCAAAATTAAAATATCTTCCCCATCAGCAGGGGAAAAATAAATCATACAATAATTATGACCGTGGTTCCAAAGCAGAGTGGGAGAAATCGCTAGGACCTGTACACAGCCAGTTGCTTATCCACTTGTGTGGTTGCAGACAAAATTATGTGGTGAGCAGGAGACCAGAGTCTATATTTTTTAAATTTGCATATATCTGCTAGATTATTAATCCAATTTTAGGACCTCATTAAGCCTTATTTGGATTAAACATAACATTCTATAGTAGAGTACAAAACAGCATATAAACTTACAAAATGACAGCATTATTCTGGATAGAGTCAACAGTCTCCTAGTATCATGTAAAAAAGTGTTTCTTTAATTCTTGGTAAGGAAAAAGAAACACATTTGATTCTGAGAATACTATCAATGAAAAGTTTATTTTCATTTTATCTTTTCTTCTATGTTGTTTGTAGTTCAAAATGGCTTTCTTAACAAGAAAATAGAGAAGGAAGCTGAACCCATGAAATCTCTACAGCATGATAGTCTAAGAGCTACATAATTACAAAACCAGTTGATATGCCAATAAGGATGGGGAAGTTTCAGGGACTCCCACCTCCAGATGAAGAGCTACAGGCAATCAATAGATGCTGAACCAGTTTTCTCTAGGGACTAGCTGTGTGGTAGGGTGTATCATTCCAAATGATCAGCCCTAAACACATATATGTACACGAGTACCACTAAGTGGAATTATTACATTTACGTATATGAATAAATATGTATATTTATAAATGTATGTGTATGTAACAATAATATTCAAGAAGAGGACAAGAAATTGAGAGAGTGTAGGGGTTTGTGGAAGTTTGGAAGAGAACTGGGAAGAATAAAAATGATGGAAATACAATATTTATATATGGAAATCTCAAAAATAATATATAGTTATATATTTTAAAAATAATATAGAGATTCCAAACATATTCCTCCCTAGGCCTTTATTCCCCTATGTTCTATGTTGTTGTCACTGGACAATAGAACATCATTGGCTTTAATCACACTTGAGGTCTCAAGGTAGACAATTAGGATAAAATTGAAGGGAGTAACTATAACTTGGAAGTCATTATGTGCTGTGATGTAACATATATAAACATCACCTAATAGATATTGATTTAAAATAATAAAAATTTGTTCTGATAAATTGAATGATAGCTGTTAACACACAGCTATTAGGGTATTTGGTGGAAATATAAGGAGACAGATTTTTTTTACTAATGTATTTATTTTTAGAGTAATCTCAAACAGTGTAAAACAATGTATGTTTTTGTAAGAAAATATTTTTAGATGTAAAGTTAAGAGAGAGGGCAGAAAAGGAATCTTTGTTTCATGTTTTAGAGAGAATGTTAGTCAAGTGGGGTTTGCTTATAATCCCAGCACTTGGGAGACTGAGGCAGGAAGATTCTGAGTTTTTACACAGTATAGGTTATACAGCAAGACCCTGCCTCACAAAAAAATCAAAAAAGGAGACAAAGATGCTGGTGTGCTATGTACAATGTAGTAATCAAAATCTAAACCTGGAAAAAGACAAGGCTTACAGTCTCTACTTTAACTTTATACTAATGACTGACTTGTTAGACCCTAAAAAATAGACAAATAATAATAGAGAGGACATGAAGTTGGGGGAGGTAGTAAGGCGAGATTGGAGATGGGGAATGAAGTCTGAATGTGATCAAAATACATTGTGTGAAACTCATGAAGAATCAATAAAAATATACTTAAAAAAATAGAATAGGAAAAGAAGTATTCCTTTTAGATACATATCTTCTCTTGCAGCCTGTGCCATTTCCAGATTCCCAGAAAAGTAATAATCCCTATATAAAGGGAGAAATAACAAAAAGTACCATTTAGGAGATGGCTCAGTGGTTAAGAACACTGGTTGTTCTTGCAGAAGACCCGGGTTCGATTCCCAGCACCCACATGGCAGTAACAACTGTCTGTAAATTCAGTTGCAGGGGATCCTACAGCCTCTTCTGTACTCTACGGGCATTTCAGAAGATAGATGCACTTACCTACATGAGGGCATAAAACGCATACACGTAAAATAAAAAAAATATATATATTTTTTAAAAGATGCAAGGTAATGATACACACTTGGCCTTTACTTGGTCTTATAGATGTCCTGAAGACTCATGGCTCAGACAAACTGCACCCCGGTGACAGAGTTCATTCTTGTTGGCCTCACAGATCGCCAGGAGCTGAAGATGCCTCTCTTTGTGGTATTTTTATCCATCTATCTTTTCACAGCTGTGGGTAACATGGGTTTGATCCTGGTCATTAGAACAGATGCAAGACTCAACACGCCCATGTACTTCTTCCTCAGCAATCTGGCTTTTGTTGACTTCTGTTATGCATCTGTCATTACGCCCAAGATGCTTGGGAATTTCTTGTATACCCAAAACATCATCTCCTTCAATGCATGTGCTGCTCAGCTGGGATGCTTTCTCACCTTCATGGTGTCAGAGTGTCTGCTTCTGGCTTCCATGGCTTACGACAGATATGCAGCCATTTGTAACCCTCTACTCTATATGGTCACCATGTCTCCAGGAATCTGCATTCAGCTTGTGGCTGTGCCCTACAGCTACAGCTTCTTGATGGCACTATTTCACACTATCCTTACTTTCCGCCTCTCTTATGGCCACTCCAACATCATCAATCACTTCTACTGTGATGACATGCCTCTACTCAGGCTGACTTGCTCAGACACTCACTCCAAGCAGCTGTCAATTTTGGCCTGTGCTGGAGTCACATTCATTTCTTCTGTTCTCATCGTTTCTGTCTCCTACATGTTCATTATTTCTGCCATCTTGAGGATGCGCTCAGCTGAGGGAAGACGCAAGGCCTTTTCCACGTGCAGCTCCCACATGATGGCAGTGAGCATTTTCTATGGAACCCTCATCTTCATGTACTTGCAACCAAGCTCTGAACATTCTCTTGACACTGATAAGATGGCCTCTGTCTTCTACACAGTCGTCATCCCCATGTTGAACCCCTTGATCTACAGCCTCAGGAACAAGGACGTGAAAGAGGCACTGAAGAAAGCCATGGCCACTGGAAACCAGACTTCTATGTTTAGAAAAGTAAGAAAATGATTCCAGTAAACCACATAGACTTTCCTTCATGGACATTTTCCCCTCAATATTAATAAGGCAATTGAAATGCTTTGGAATTAATTGGTACTCAATAAAGATCTATTCACTGTAAAATAAAGCATTTTTTCTGTGTCTTTTTGTAAATCATTTCGTAAAGCATTTTTACTTTCTGACTTTAACGTAACCACTCCAGTTACTTACTACATGTGATCTGCATGGAAAGGTATGCATACTTTGGTTTCAAATATGTTCTTGATTTTGAGAAAAACTTATTCCTCTTATAGGCACCAGTAATCTTGCCTTTAATTTGGCCTTTTTAGATATTTTTTTGTCAATTGCATTAAAAATGAAGTTTTCTTCACAAAACTGTATTTTAATAATGAAATGGAGATCTTTTTTAAAGGTTAAAACCTCATTGACTTTTATGTCTTATAGGGTTTATACTGAGTACAATATTGTGTAACTATAATAATTCAACTGTAAACCTAAAAATGTATAGCCAGTTTTGTAAGAGATGCAGCCTAGCTCAGAAAATTGTTATTGAATATGTCAGTGATGATGCAATGAAATGCTTCTTCTAAATATGTGGTTATTAAATAAATAATTTAAAAAAAATAAAAATAAAAAAACAATGCCTTTTAATTGGACCTTGTAATCTGTTTACATTTCACATAGTTGCTATGATTGAATTTATATCTGTTATTAAATTTGTATGGCAGAATACATAAGGTATGCTGGGGGAGACAGGGGAGGCATGGATTGGGGAGGGGATCTAAATTTGATTAAGTACTGTTGTATGAAATTACAAAAGCTCAATAAAAATATATTCAATATTTTTGCACTGGGCGTATGGTGCATGCCTGTAGTCCCAGCACTTGTGAGGCAGAGGCAGGCAGATCTCTGTGAGTTCAAGACCAGACTGTTCTACATAGTGAGTTCCAGGACAGCTGGGGCTACAGGGAGACCTTGCTTCAAAAGGACAAATACATATATTTTTTTAAAAAAAATAAAATAAAATAAAAATTGCCCTCTAAAACCCTGTGCAGTGGCACATGTCTTTGATCCCAGCACTGGAAGTCAGAGGCAGCCAGATCTCCATGGGATCAAGGCCAGCCTGGTTTTCAGGAGACCCTGTCTCAAAGCAAGCAACCAGAAAATTGCTTTCATGTCATTTTTACTTCCTTGTTTGTGTTCTGCCTTCTTTTGTGTAGGAATTTTTTCCTAGGCATTTTATTCCTGTATTATTAAATACACATACACACTATTGCACATGCCCTCCATAGGAGTATTTTCTGTTTGTGCTTTTCTTGTTTTATGTTGTTGGTGTTTGGCTGCTGCTATTTGCCTATGGACTTTTCTGGACTAATTCTATAAAATCTATATTTTTCTTTAATGCATGATGTAGTTTTGATTTTAAATATTCCCCCAATGTCCCATGTGTTGAAAAATAAAATTAAAACCTTAGAGATGACTCAGAAGTTAAGAGCCCTAATTGTTCTTGTAGAAGAACTGGATTTGGTTCCCAACATCCACATGGAGGCTAACGACTGTCTATATATCCAGTTCCAAAGACTCCAACATCCTCTTCTGACCCCTTCTGGGGCACCAAGAATACATTCTAGCATCCACACATATACATAAAACAAGAATGAATAAATCTAAAAAAATATATAAAAACACAAACACAGCCATTTTACCAAGATGCTACATATTTTCTTTCTTCAATAACTGTTTTTGAATTTGCTCTGACACTTTCATACATGCATAAATTGCATTCTATTTAATGAAAATCCTCTCACCTTCTTTAATCTCCCTACAACTTCTATTAACCCTTCCACTCTACAAGTTCATTTTCTACATTCATGTTTATTTTTATATTTTTTGCTGTTGCTGTTTGAGACTCATTGAATTCAACAAGAATCATTAGAATAACCATCGGTTTGAAATAGTCACTGGAAACTCGGAGGCTCCTCAGTGGGGACACAGCTGAAGACAATGTCTTCCCCTCATCTAGAATCCATCAATAGTCAATAGTTCAGCAGGAAGATTAAAAGGCCTCATGAGCTCCTCCCTGATCCATGATTGTCTATCAACAGGCCTTCTCTTGTGTAGACTCACTGCAGACAGCCATAACCAGTATGAGGTCATGACTATACTGCCTGTGCTGTGCCTGGAAGACAGCATCTCTTAGCTCTTATCTCTATCTTTTTCTTCATTCTTTCCTTTCAATCCCTCTTCCATGATAACCCCTGACCATTAGAGGGATTGCATACATGTCCTGTTTAGGGCTGAGCATTCAACCGTCACTTATTCCCTGAATCTTGAACAAACATGAATCTGTATTTGCCACATTAATTGCAAAGAGAAGTTTTCCTGATTAAAGCTAGGGGTAGCATTTGTCTACTGATATAAAAATGAGGATTTAGAAGGAAACTTGGCACCATGATAATTTAGTTGAAAAATAATAGTAAGTTTGCACTTAGGCCTAAGACCTTCTCATCCATGAGTTTTCATTGGGTTGACAGTACCAGGTATGGGTTCCTTCTTGTAGAGTAGATTTCAAATTCAAGCAAAGCATGGTCAACATACCACTGGCCAAATATTTAACTTTGAAAATTCTTTGTAAAACTTGGCTCTCACATTTAGGGAAGTAAGCAGTCCCATAAACTGCAGCCTGCAAGTGGGAGAGCAAACTTCTGAGAATTAGTCTAGATGAAGTGAACAGTCCTGAGACGCAGAAAAGATGATACAGAAACAACACGGGAGAGATGCAGGTGTAATTTCTGCAGTTGGAACCCTGAGAAGCAAGAACTTGGAATCAGAAGAATGACAGCATATAACCTGTAGGAGCAACAGAGTCCACAGTCCTAGGCACAGAAGACAGGCAAAGTGGAATGCTCCAGATTGGAAGAAAAGAATAAATTCATCCTCCCTCAAACTTTCTTTTTTTAACTTTTGGGTTAGGATCTTATTATGCAGATTAGGCCCCAAAATTACTATGTGGCCAGGATGAAGTTGAATATGCAGTCCTTCTCCCTCATCATCCCAGCTGCTAGAATTACAGGTAACTATCACCACACTGGCTCTCTCTAAGTTTTTGCTGTATTGATATAATCAATCAATAAAACGATACCTTCCAACACAGGTATGGAAGATCTATTTCACTTATTGTATTGAATAAATCTCTTCTGAAAATACTGTCACCCATAACCAGAAATAATCCTTTACCTAAGCATCTCTTAATCCAATCAGTTCACTAATCAAGCTAACTAAAAATGTAGACTCCTATGTTAGAACAGTCTGTCTTTAATATGTACTGCATGAAATACAAGTGCTAAAGTAGTGTTTGAGAACTCATACCAATCGTTCTAAATATAAACATAATTTCAATAACTGAATGTGAGCTTTAAAAAATATTTTTTCAGGAGCTGGAGAGAAGGCTCAGTGTTTAGGAACAACTCACATGGCAGTTAACTATCTGCAACTCACGATGCAGGGGATCTGATGTCCTCTTCTGGCCTCTGCAGGGATTGAACACATGGTTGCACTTACATATATGCAGGCAAAACACTCATGCACATAAAAATAAAATTTTCAAGTTAAAATAAATTTTTTCATTTATTCTTTGAAAATTTCATGTATGTATACAATTTATTTTGCTCATATACAACTCCACCTCCCACCTCCAACTACTCCCAGGAACCCCTCTCCATAACTAACTCTCCATAATCAACTCTAGAAATTATATTTTAATATGTTTAATTATTAAGTAGTTCAATGATCTTTGTTCCCATCCTTCCTTGGTATTAATAAGAGTTTATTTAAGTATGTGTCAGTGCCTGCTAAATCTGATCCATGTACCCAGTCATACAGTTACTGTCTTCTTGTATAGCTATTTTCTCCTAATTGAAACATTTCCTTCTGTAGACAGGAGGGGGAGGGTCATAACATGAGGGAGGCTCATAAGCCTGGAGGACTTCAGGAAGATCAGAAAGGTGCTCTCCTCCACAGAAAGTAAAACGTTGTGCTCCTCCACCACCTATAAATACAGTAAATAATTACTGAAGAGAAGAAAACTTTCCCAATGGTGCTGCCTTTGAAGGTTGTCACCGTGTCTTGTTTTTCTTTAAGGAATTTTAACATAGCTTATCCAGACTTTATCTGCAGAATTTGCATACTAATACTTCAGCACATTTGTAGTTTTTAGAATGAATTCCTAAGTGATGCCTCTTCATCTGTTATACTGATCAGTAAACAAGCAATAAGAAGAAATGTTCACTCCACTAGATCCAACAAGGCTTCCACTGTCCTGTCAGTGGTTTTCGTCTGTTTAAGGACTTTGTTTTAAAATTATTGTCAATTTCGTTTGGCATAGCATGTTCTTTCTGCTTTTAATTTACTACTGAGTTAGTGTATGTTACCAAACCACTAAGAATGTGAGCAAATGGACATCTCTTTCTCACAATGTACTTCTCAAATAAATTTCTAAGTACGTCTATCATCTGCCGTAAGTGGGACCATGCTGTCAGGCAGGGTCCTACACCATCCTTCAGTGGGTATGGCCAGCTGCAAACCAGTACATACAGGCATTCCAAAAACGTTGCTCAATGTCAGGCTTGACAGCAGCATTTTTCACATAAAGTTCTTCCTAAATTAATTTGGTAATTGGGTACCATTTTTATTAGCTAGTTGAGTTTATCAGAATGAAAAATCAATTTTCCTATATTTATTATGGAAGGTCATTCACATCTTGAAGCAAAGCTTGTCCATTTAATTTAGACTTCTGACTTGCAACCCTAACTGGGAGTCAGGGGCTTTATCTTTCTCATGCCAAAGGTTTTAAAAGCTATACCATTAATCCCAGCACTTGGGAGGCAGAGGCAGGAGGATCTCTGTGAGTTTAAGGCAAGCCTGGTCTACATAGTGAGTTTGACAACAGCTGGGGCTAGAGGGAGACACTGTCTTAAAAAAAAAAAAACATGTCATTTAGGAATATTAAG